TGCGTTTTCTAAATTGCCCAAAATAAGTTTGCATTACTTTTATAATGTAATAAATTTTATTGTTTATTATTATTTTACAGATTGTTTTTGTTTTAATATGGCTGTCACTATCAAATTCTTCAATTGCCTCTGACCAAATAAATTTGACATTGCACTCGTGCAACTGAAGCTGAATCATTATATCCTCATAAATATATAGACTCAGAAATATCAAAGGTAAACTTTGTCTAGAGGAGTCAGATAGAGATTAACAAAATAGAGAAAATGAATGCTTCATTTATTAATTTAATTAGTATTTAAACATTTATTGAATGTGTTTTCTGTGCTGGATACTTTGCTAGATGTTAGAATTATTTTGAATTTAATATAATTAATAAAAGCACAAATGTAGAGCTGGGAGGAACATTAGAGACCATCAAGCTGAATCTCTTTGTTCATGGGTAAGAAAACACAGTCACACAGACAGTTAATGCAGTGGCAGAGCTATATTAGAACAAGCAGGAACTCAGACACTGCCCCTGTCCTCAGTGAGTTAGATCAATATATCCACAGTTAAAATATGTCCTCAAAATGCTTTAAAGGGTGAAGGCCAGGGTGCAGCAGTAATGTGTAAAAAGTGCTTAAATGACCCCAGAGAGAGGCAGCAGAGGAAGTTTCTTAAAGGTACTGGCATTCCTCCTGAAAATCAAAGAATAAACAGGAGTCCACCAAGTGATTGGGGGCATTGGTGGTTCAGTGGTAGAAGTTGCACCTTCCAGAGAAGTCTCAAAGGCAAGGCACCTCATGCACAGCCACCACTCATCTGTCAGTGGTGGTTTGCAAGTTGCTATGATACTGATTGGGTTTCAGCAGAGCTTTCAGACTAAGATGGACTAGGAAGGAAGGCCTGGCAATTTACTTCCAAAAACCTCAAGGATCACAATAGTCTGATCAGCAACAGATCGTGGGGATGGCACAGGACTGGGCAGCATTTCATTCCACTGTGCATGGGGGCAGCTAACAACTACAACCACATCAACAACCACATGACTGCACAGGAAGGGCCTGCTGACCAGAGAGATCAGTGCCTGTAAAAGCACAGAGTTATGAGAAAGTGGTAGCCCTCGCTCAGGGACTACCCAATAGTTCAGTCTGCATACAGCATAAAGGGTGTTGATAGGGTCAGGAGTGGAGTGGACGTTAGGGAAGGTATGTGGTAAAGTGCATGAAGCAGGAAATTTGTAGGGGTATCAGAGATCATATGAGGAGAGCATTATATGCCAGACTAGGAAATGTGGCTTTTGTTTCTTAGGGATTGGGAAGTAAACAGATGGATTTAAACAGGTGAGTGGCATGATTAGTATGGATTTGAGGAGACAAAGCAGGGAAATCAGTTAAATAGCTACTCTCATAATCTAACCAAGAGAAGATTATGGAGGAGCAGTGGGAGAAGAAAAGTGACAGTAGACTAGAATTATAGTGACTAGGGAGTATGACATTCAACTGCGTGTATCATAACAAATTATGGATAACATTGCAAACAACAGGAATTCCAGAGCACTTAATTGTGCTCATGAGGAACCTGTACATAGATCAAGAGGCAGTCGTTTGAACAGAACAAGGGGCTATTGCGTGGTTTAAAGTCAGGAAACGTGAGCGTCAGAGTTGTATCCTTTCACTATACTTATTCAATCTGTATGCTGAGCAAATAATCTGAGAAGCTGGACTATATGAAGAAGAACGGGGCATCAGGACTGGAGGAAGACTTCAACAACCTGCCTTATGCAGATGACACATTCGTGCTTGCTGAAAGCAAAGAGGACTTGAAGTACTTACTGATGAAGATCAAAGACTACAGCCTTCAATATGGATTAGACTTCAATATAAGGAAAATAAAAATCCTCACAAATGGACCAATAAGCAACATCATGAGGTGTGGAGAAAATATTGAACTTGTCAAGGATTTCATTTTGCTTGTATCCACAATCAATGCCCATGAAAGGAGTAGTCAAGAAACCAAAGATCGTATCGCGTTGGACGAATCTGCTGCAAAAGACCTCTTTAAAGTGTTAAAAAGCAAAAGACGTCACTTTGAGGACTAAGGTGCGCCTGATTCAAGCCATGGATCAATCGGCTTGTATGCATTCAAAAGCTGGACAATGAATAAGGAAGACCAAAGAAAAATTGATGCCTTTGAATTACAATGCTGGCTAAGAATATTGACTATACCATGGACTGCCAGAAGAATGAACAAATCTGTCTTGGAAAAAATACAGCCAGAATGCTACATAGAAGAGAGGATGGCTAGACTTCATCTTACGTGCTTTGGATATGTTATCAGAAGGGACCAGTCCCTAGAGAAGGATATCATGCTTGGTAAAACAGAGGGTCAGTGAAAAGGAGGAAGACCCTCAAAGAGATGAATTGACACAGTAGCTGCAACAATGGGCTCAAACATAGAAATTTGTGAGGATGGCGCAGGAACAGACAGTGTTTCATTCTGTTGTACATAGGGTCGCTATGAGTTGGAACCAACTGGATGGCACCTAACAACAACAACATCAAATTTTCTATGATAAGCAGTCAGAATGGAAACAGATTAATGATTTGACACTTTAAAAATAAATTAATTAGCATATTTACATGGAATATTTTGAGAAATGTATGTTTTCTGGGATTTTATTATATTTTTTGGCTTTCTGTATTTAAGTTGCTGAGTAAGTCATCTAGAAGCATCTTCCGGGCTCCCACAATGACTTCCAAACTCCTTAAACAAAGACCCTTGAAAATACCATATGAGTTCCTTAAAGGAAAAAAAAATAGACACCATAGCATGTGATCTAGTTTCCATCATTACCAAAATTGCTTATATCCCCCCAAATGTCACTTACTACAGAGTAATAAACTTATTGAGACTCAGATATTTGCTGGCTTGTGTATAAACAATACAGATTACTAATCCCTTGAATACATTATCCCTTTTCTTATGAATTCAAAGTGATTTGATAACAATTCAAATTCCTAACTATCCATGGTATATAACCACAAATGGTTTGTAATACGGCATACAGAAAGCATATATAAATGTTATATAGAAAACCACATTAATTTTCCCTGAACTACTTGGAAATAAAGAGCACTGGCAGCACAGTGGTTAAGAGCTCGGTTGCTAACCAAAAGGTAGGTAATTCAAATCACCAGCTGCTCCTTGGAAACCCTATGGGGCAGTTTCACTCTGTCCTATAGGGCCACTATAAGTCAAAAATAACTCAACACAATTTTTTTCTTTTTAATTCCACCTGTATTACAGATGGGAAAATAAGCAGTAAAATGAAATATTTTGTTTATGTTTAAACAGGAAAATTGTGGGCTGGGGGGTACCTATCTCTGATGTCCAGTTAAGTACTGAAAAGCTGAAACTTCATTTTCTCTTTCTTGAGAAATATTCACTTTCCCAAAATATATCGTACATATTCAGGAAATATATTCAGGTTGCTGAACTCTAGCTTAGCCTTTGAGAAATTTATTTTAAACTTCAGCCAAATTCACTGTTGTAATTATGCAAGATTCACTAGTTTAATAAACCAACTCTACAGCTCACTGCTCAAAGCCTTTGACAGCAGGATACTAATAGAGCCAGGTCCAAAATGCAAATGGTGCCATCTGCATCACTACATCCACTCCAGCAGCACCTCTATTAAATTAATAGTACAGCCTGCGAGAGAATACAGCAGAGACCCCAGACTCTTGGAACCAGTTGAATTATTGCTTAACCTCCACCTCGTACAAACACAGAGCCAGTTTACTCATGGTTAGCTTCATCAATCCGTACCAAATAGCTGCATCCAATTTGCTTGACCAAAGGAATTAAGAACCGCCCCCCTCAAAAAAAAGGAAAGGGAACAGTTAGAAGACATTAGCTCCCTAAGTACAAATATAAATAGGATTGAATTGAGTATGCTTCAATGCCCTGATTGTATAAGGATTGGCTGACCAATCTGGAACAAACTCAGACATTACAATACCAGCAGTGACTTGAGATCTGCACCAAAAGGAAGTACATGAAATATATAAAAAGCATGGCACTGTAAAATAGATTCATATGTTGGTGAAATTTAAGGTTAATCCAAAACTTTTATGATTTGAAAGTTTGCTATCTACAATTCTGATTTTTAGTGCAGATAAATTTGCACTAGACAGTTTTTGGCATAATAATAAATATTGGACAGCATTTTACTTCTTAATCCTGGAAAATTCCTTCATTTTCTGTGTGTATCACTTAAGTATGATGAACATGAGATTTTTATTTTTACCTTGGCTCATCCAAAATCGTGTGTGACTGACTCACTGGGGAAACCTGGGCATATTTAAAAAGATATCTCTTTAAATGTTTTTGATTCCTATAACTACAAGTTTCTTTAAAGTTTTATGACTACATGGGTCAACCCCAGAAGAGCGATGCTTGTAAGTTGGAAAAGACAATGCTGATCATTATTTATACGCCTCTAATGCAAGACTGCAGTTACTGGATTCAGTTCAGTGAAGAGGATATTAATCAGCATGTTGTCACTGTTCATCCACCCCCTTGAGCCTGTGGAAGGAAGCTCTGGGTCCACGGAAGTCTGCAGTGAGTAATATAATGACCGCATTTCTACCCCAATTATTTTTAAAGGTATCGCATGGCAAGAGAATTTTAAAGTTAAAAAAAGTTGAACTCTGACCTATTATAGTAACTCTTTAAAAAAAAGCAAAAAAATTTTTCTCAATCAGGCAAAGATATATTTGTGGTGTTAGTAAGTAAAAGCCTGTTGTAAATAATCCAAAGATTATCATATATTTTGAAATTATTTTGATTCTTACCATTACATATTATTTATAAATTTATACCTGAAGTTAACTGAGAAATTTCACTATCAAAATTTAAAATATAAGAACATTAAACATCAAATTTTTTTCTCCCGTATAAATGTTTACATACATTGTAAGTAAAAATAAGAAGACACACAATATTAAATGCTTACCTTTAATTTGGGTTTTCCTTTCAGGTTTCTCTTGTTTTTCAGTCTTTTCTTTGTGTATTTCTATGGAGAAATGGAATTTATAATTTAAAAACTCTCTTTGAAAGAATACAAAATTTAAACCATGGCTATTACCTAGACTTTATCATTCTGCTACAAAGTCTGAATTATTATAGCTAATAATATCATACATGTCGAAAAGGAAAGAGTCCTTGTAACGTATTGCTACCAGAATCTCTTATTGAAGAGACCTCTTTATTGAAATAAGGGCAAAATTGGAGTCATCTCAAAATTAGTTATTTGAAAAGCTTAAAAACTTAGTGACAGAGATATGTTATCACCATTTTCAGTGTAAAAATTGATCACAAACTATAATTATGTTTTATTTGAATTACAAGCAGTACAAATTTAAGAATCCTTAAGAATGTAATTTAGGTTTAGGAAGATTTAGTTTTTACATATTAAATTAAGAATTTGTGAAATGAACTGTAACAACTTTCTAATAGGAAATATATTTCAGAAGTATTTACTCTAAGCTGTGTTTATAATCAGCATTTGGCATTGAATTTAACCAATAATTACTGTAAGCAGTTCTAGTGCATTTCATAGAATAAGTTAGTTGTTACATTTTTTTTCCTAAATGTCAGATTTTATCCAATTTATTCAATTTTCTGCTGGCTTCAGTATACATCTATTGCCAAGACTTAGAAAATGAAGTTATTTCTGAATTTTCAGTTAATTTGGATTGGAGTAAATTTGAGATTAGAGTTTACAAATATGATTACTAACTCTGAAAAGTCAAACTTAAATATCATGGTTTTTCTGAGAAAAATGCTAATGAGGCTTACTTATTTATTTATCACATTATTGCACAGATGGTCAGAGATAGTACTAATTACTATACATATTTTAAATTCTCCACCTGTAAATTTGCATTTGCATTTTTATAATTTTTCCAGAAAGTTACTGAATCAAGACTAACCATAGGGAAACCCTAAATATCTTCAGAAAAGTTAGTTACCAACTTTCATTCACCTGTTAAGGAGGTAACCACCTCTAGGAAAATTTTTTTCCCTTGCTTTCCCCTTCAATGGATCATCTTATTATTTGTAGTGTCATCTTCTACCCTTATTCCATCCCTAATTTTGACTCCACCCTAGGGTAAAACAACTGCAAGAAATATGGCAATGGCTCTGCAAAGGAGCTAAGATGCTCAATCACATCCTTGAAAAATATTCTCCAAGGGATTAGGAAAGATCTCAAAAGGGCAAAGGAAATGTCCATCTCTCTGTCTTTCTCACCTTTTTTGATCTCTTCCTTGGATATCTCCAAATTTTACTGTACAGAAGGGTTTCTTGACCTTAGCACTATTGACTTTTTGGAATGGATAAATCTTTATTTGGATAAGGGAATGGGAGGGGAGTTCTGTGTACTCTAAGGTACTTAGCAGCATCCCTGGTCTCTACCTGCTGGATGCCTATAGCTCCCATACCCACATCCCAGTCATGACAATAAACAATGTCTTCAGACATTACCAAATGCTGTCTACAGGAAAAACTGCACTAGATTCACTGCTGGAAAAATACAAGATAACCAGCCTGACCATTCTTCATCACTGTCTAGACTTGCCACTTGGCAGTTGTATGTATTAAGCACTGGATATCTGGTTAGTCTGAATTGAAATGTATTATAAATATAAAATACACCCTGGGTTTTGAAGGCTTAGCACAAAAAAATGTAGAATATATAATTAATAATTTTATATAGGTTATATGCTATAAGGATAATATTTTGGGCATACTGAGTGTGATGTTTTTATTGATGTGCCAACTTGGCTATGTTGCTGTCCCCAGTTATTCAACTGAACACTAATCCAAGTGCTGCCATGAAGGTATTTTGCAGATGTAATTAAAGCCTCTAATCAGTTGACTTTCAGTATGAGAACTATTTTCTGGATAATCTGGATAGGCTTTGCTACTTTCATTGGAATGCCCTAAAAGCAGGCTGAGGTTTTCCTGGGAGAGGAAAGAAATTCTGTCCGTGTACAATATTTCCCGCCTACTCATGATCTTCCCTTGCTTATCACCTGTCCTTCAGATTTCAGACTTGCTTATCCAGCCCTCACAATTATTTGTAATAAACCTCTTAATATAAAAATATACATATATAATCTCCTATAGTTCTGCTTCTTGGGTCCAACCCTAACTGATACGTTGGTTTAAATAAGAAATGATATTAAAATTAATTTTATGTTTCTTTTTTTTTTAATGTGACTATTAGAAAATTTAAAATTACGTATGTGGCTCACATTATAATGCTGTTAGACAGAACTGGTCTAGCCACAAACCTAAAAAACCCAAACCTGTTGTCCTGAAGTGGATTCTTTTAACAACTCTACAGGAAAAAGCAGAACTGCCCCATACGGTTTCTAAGGCTGTAATCTTGATGGAAGCACGCTGCCACATCTTTCTCCCAGGGAGCAGCTGGTGGCTTCCAATTGCTGACCTTTCAGTTCGCACCTGAGCTCTTAACCACTGCACCACCAGGGCTCCTCTGGTCTAGAAATAAAACCAAAACGAACTGCCATTGACTTAAATAACCACTGCCCATCGAGTCATTCCGTCTCAGAGTGACTCTATAGGACAGAGTAGAACTGCTCCACAGGTTTCCAAGCAGCAGTTGATTGTTTCAGACCTTTTCTTTATACAGCGGAACGTTTAACCACTGCGCCACCAGGTCTCCTAAGTGGAATAGGGTGGGTAAATGACCTTTTTTAAATCCTTAGTTCACCCACAGGGTTAACTCTTTTACAAGTGAAATGAATAATCAAACTCCAAACTCTTTCCTGCCAATACCCTACTGTACCTCCCTGCCATCCAAACCAACAGAGGCTATGGATAAGGCTGGTGCCTTGTATAACGGAGGTCCATAAAACAAAATTTCAAAGATTTAGAGTGGACTTAAATATGCTAAGGAAGTCGTCTTTAATAGATAGTTTCGTACTCTTGAGATTACTGTGAATAATTAGATTGGAAGAGATTTTCAAAATTGAAAAATTACATAAATTACAAAATACACGCGTGTGGGTGTGTGCGTATGTGCGTGCATGCCTTGCGTGCGTGTGTGTGTGTGAATTTCGAAGGCACCTGCTGGCCGTTCAGAATAATAAAAGAGGTATTCTGGAACTCACACAACAGGACCAGAACTGAGCCAGAGTCTTACGCAGGACAAGGGTACTGAAGGCTATCCCGCACGGGTAATAGCGTGCCAACCCCCACTAGCCCAGTTTAGGCTGGGAAATAAACTGGTTGGGTAGGGTGGTGGTTTGTGAGATTAGACAGTCCATTTTGGTCCATGGTAGGATTTCCTGCAAGGTAGGTAGAAGTTTGCAAGTCGGAGACTAAATGAAAGAAGCAGTAGCAGGGAGCTACCCTTGACCCCTCAGCTCTGGTGCATACAACAGCATCACATGAAAGGGAGTGAGTTCAATGTTGTGACCAAAATTGAAATGAGCGGGGGTCCATCCTGGGGGGGAAAAATAAGAGGATGAAGACAAATCTCAAAAAGATCGGGATCAAGAGCACCACTCAGGAACAGGCAGAGGGTAAATGCATTCCATCCACCCTTTCCAAAATACATGAAAGGGACGTGATCGGAAAGTAGAAAGTAAATGCTTCCTTGTTGGATGCACATCATAGTACATTTTACTTAAGGCAAAATAAAAATAAAACTTAATAAGAAACAAACTAAAAAAATGGCAATATGTTTCACAGCATGTATTTTTTTATGCTATGATAAATAAAGTAGACACAACCCAGTTCTGCAACTCACACCAATCTCAAGGATAAAGTGCCAATTTTTCCTTTTCCTGATATTGCACTTCACCTTTATACTAATCAATACAGCCCCGCTGCTCTGACAGATCCAGTCAGCTTTCTTGTAAGTGGGGGAAACAAATTGAAATAAATAAATAAATAAAATCTCTGCAGCTCACTACTAACAGAAATCTGATACCTTACATGGGTATATTTTGTAGAAACATCAATTTAAATTTATTAAATCATTGATTTATTAATATTAATTCATTAATATTTCCATAGAAGGAAGTATTTTTTTTTAAAAACCAGTAAAGTCATAGAAGAAGAATGAAATTTATTTCTAAAGACTCAGTCTCAAGGAGAAATTAAATATCTCTCTGTGTGCTTTACTGCAACATTGAATTTTATTTAGGTATTGAATTCCATCACTACTTTCATTGTCTGTGGCTATCAGATGTCTCAAGAATCCAAGGAAGACTCTACACAATGTGTCAGTTCTGTCTCCTTACACTTTAGCCAGGAAATGATGAACTATTCAGGCTCCTGTCCAACTGAGTAACAACATTATACCAACTTAGACTTCAGAAGGATATCTTTCTCGTAAGTAGACCATGCCTGATTTGCTACCCTCAATTGCTCTTTTCAGCTAAGAACCATTTGTCTAAGAATGGAAACTTAAATTTAAAATATTCAAGTCATTAAAGATAGAAATTTATTACCCTATGGTTTTTAACAAAATTCAAAGAAAAATACAATTTCTTATATTATATTAAAACTGTTGTTGCTGTCAATGGCTGTTGAATCAATTTCGTCTTACGGTCACCCCAGGTGTGCAGAGTAGAACTGCTCCGTGGGGTTTTCGAAGTTGTGACCTTTCAGAAGCAGATGGCCAGTCCTGTCTTCCAAGGCACCTCTAGGTGTGTTCGGACTGCCAACCTTAAATTAACTTTCAGTTATTCAATGATGAATGGCTTCACTTGGTCTAACATAACAATATCGTATAATAACAAAATTGCTTTTAATATCATAACACTCTTTAAGGAACATTTCACTTAAACCATGAACTGATTCTGCATACAAGGGACAGAGAAGAAGGTCAAGGCAGTCATTAGTTATCTCCAAATACATGCGCTTTGCATTTAAGGCAAAGTCCAGGGTCTCTGAAGAGGTGTACGTCTCAGCATCAAATGCTAGTGGGAATCATAAGCCATTCTTGTAACCAGTAACCTTAAAGATTGTTCTGGG